TGCCATATTCCAACAAATAACGCAAGCAAGAAAATATATCTCCTATTATTACCATGGCTTGAGTTAACATTCCATTGGTGCCCGGGACCACCACTATGTCATTCTCTGCATCAGCTGCTCCTGATACGATAATCCCTGCCACACCGGTACCTGACGAAGGTTCATATACAATAAATCAATGACTACATGATCCTACTAGTTCCCGGTAAGAGGTTTAGGTAATCCGCACCAACACCAGTTTCCTTGAGATGCTCCTTGTATGCAGTTCCAAGACCGTCATCAGCACTCACACACCCTATCATCTGGACCATCGGCGTATCGGAGTCGTTAGTAGAGAGTAATATGCCAGCAGCAACTGCTTGGTTGGCACCCTTACCACCCCAACTCTGAGTGAACTTATCACCGGGTACAGTCTCACCAGGCTTTGGTAATCTGGGTAATCTACAACGGAATGTGAAATCCGCACTCAGAGACCCGACCACTGTCACCAGACAGTTCTCTCTTCGATCGTTACAACAGTCGTCGGAGGACATAGCAAGAATAACAACAACTAGAAACTGAACATGATGAAGCATTACAATGACAAAAGTCTATTACTCGTATGAGCAAATGGTCGGTAAAGCTAGTAGCATCATGTGTCACAATGACTTTGTCCGATATTTACATATCCAAGCTTTAGCGTTGGCTTTCCTGCTTCTCCATAAAGATATGTGCGATACCACTCGCTCATCACCGGCGAAGCTACAACTCATCCCAAGTCGAACAAGAATTGAATCTGCCGTTGTTCGAGGCGTTGTACTCACAGAATAAAGGTTTGAATGTTTGGTCGACAGTGTAGACTAGACATTCACTTGCGATTGAGGGTGAAAGCAGAGTGATATGTGAGAGGTCGTGATACTTTGGTGATTCGTAGTGACGATTAGCAGTCTCGGAATCACGAGTGAACCAAGACACACAAAGGCTCGAAAGTAAACGAAGTTGCGACCGTAGCACGCCATAAATCATTGTGTATTTTCGTGGTGCAGCCCAGTTGGTTAGGTTAAGGGATTTACTCTGTTATATGCTGTAATCAGGC